CACACACACACACGGTCAGATTTCACGACAGCATTATGCACATGCAATTTTCCTTCTGCACCAGGCAAATCGTTTAGCAGCGATAAATTCATGCGGTTTCCAGCGCGATTAATTACCCACGAGCGCTTGATCCGCCGGCTTTTGTTTTGCCTGACAAACAGCACATATAATCTCCTGCCCACACGCCAGCTCCTCACGTGACCCCAGCAGCTTAAAACTTTCTCTGCTCTTGCCGAAGGATGCGTCAACTTTCTGACACCCGCCACGGAATGAAAGAAAGAGTTTTTAATGGTCAGACAGGAGCGGGCGGATGGGGGTGGTGTTTTGGTGCGGATTAAAGTCTCGCTGTCGAGTCGTTATCTGATCTGAGCCGAAAGGAATTCAAAGTCTCCGTCCCAATGAATGATATTAATTCCCGCACGCCGGCCAGAGAAAAGAGAGGAAATAAGGATTTTTTAATTTCAAGCGCTCCACTGGGAGCTCTAATTAACTGCCATATGTGTTATTTTTAAGGGTTTACTAATCCTTGTTTTCTATCTGGCAGTTTTCCGATGGAAGCTCGTGGCTTGACGTTTTTGCATGCCTCTCTCTGCCTGATGTTTTTGTGCCGCTTTCGCTTAGAGGGGAATTTAACAGATGGTTTCATATCTGGGTTTTCCATAAATGCTAGAGTGCCTCATGTTCTGCCATGCACCAAAATCATGGTTTGTTTTTTGTACAGAGAGGCACCGTCTAGTCTCATGAAAGTGTGTATTTAATACTTTAGATCAATCACTGGTTTTCTACTTATTATATGACATTAGTTCTATAGAATATGGGCTCTAACAATAAATAAAAAGCACTTGACATATCATTACAGCACCTGTGTTCAACAAGAGACGTACACTGGTAAACTATTTGCTTAAAATATTTCACATAACATTCATTCTTCAGTCAGAAACAAGGACAATTTTAAACTTAACAGACAAACAAAAGCCACAAAAGATGGATCTGGATTTGGAAAATACACGACAGTTCAAAAGTTTGGGATCAATATGATTTTGAAATGTTTCTGAAAGAAGTCTCTTCTGCTCTCCACGGCTGCATATATTTGATCAAAAATACAGTACAAACCCGTAATATTGTTAAATATTGTGACAGTTTAAAATATCTGTTTTCTATATGAATCTATGTTAAACTGTAATGTATTTCTGTGATGCGCAGCTGTATTTTCAGCATCATTACTCCAGTCTTCAGTGTCACATGATCTTCAGAAATCATTCTAATATGCTGATTTGCTGCTCAAGAAACATTTCTGATTATTATCAATGTTGAACACAGTTGTGCTGCACAATATTTTTGTGGAAACTGATACATACATCTTACTGAACCTTAACATTTTTGAATGGTAGTGTACATTTACATTTTTATATATAAATATATATATATATATATATATATATATATATATATATATGTAACAATAAAACATTTACATATTATTAACAATACACAATGCATATTCTGTGCTGTAACCTCATGATTATCATCGCTGTGTTATTAATCATATAAATATGAATGCAGCGGCTTCAGACCTGCAGTGCACCACCATGGGTCCGGCGTCCGGTGGGTTGCAGGACTTGACTCTGCGCAGGAAGGCCAGGAACGGCGTGGGATGCTCCGGAACGCCGTGATCCGGCCACGCCGTGAACTGGAACTGCCGCACCTCTCGCTTCTCGCTGGAGCCGTTCTGAACGCAAGAGTGAAACGCTCTTCAAATATTACAGCCAAACATCACATGCCCATTATTTACTCGCCCTTATGTTGTGTCAAACCTGCATGCAGCTATTTCATCACAAACATATGCTTGACAGTGACAGGAGGGCTGATGAGCTGATCACGTACCTTGTAAAGTGCAAACGTCCGGACACAGTACGTGGCCAGCTCCACCGTGTCCAGCAGCGTGACCTGAATGAGTCCGTACGTCTCCGTCGCTCTGTTGGGCCAGTACTGGTCACACTTCACCTGAAACACACACAAACACACATCGTGCTCAGATAAAGCCGGAGAAGGAGCGGCGCCTTTCCCATTCCCTGCTGACAAGAGGATTTCTCAACACAGCAGTGAGTGACAGACGCTATAATTACTATCTCCAGCGCTCTGTCGCCATCACATCACAGCCGGCCGTCATTACCATTATAGATGTGGGCTGCATTGTGAGCGGCGCACCGAACAAAAGAGATGCTAAACATGAAGCCTCCAGGTTACCAGAGGAAAACCGACGTGCATCTCGTGTCTGTCTGAATGCAAACAAGAGCAGGATCTGAACGATCATATTCTGCTAACAACATTAGGATGCTGAATATCTCATTAAAATGCATCGAGTCGAGACGTTCCAGCACCACATGACCAAAACTCTGTTACATAGAGAAGGGCTCCTGCGTTCATGTGTCTCGAGTCCAACTTTACTGCAAGCGTCAGTCTATGGATTCATGCAAAGGACGATTCATAAATTAAAAAAGGCATGGATTTAAATTCTGCAACTCATAATGGCAGCTAAAGACGAGATGATGTGCTGTGTCTTGCCTTAGAGAAGAAATGAGAAGGAATCTGAGAAACACACACACACACACTCACACACACACACACTCACACACACTGACACTCACACTCACACTCACACTCACTCACACTCACACTCTCACACTCACACTCACTCACACTCACTCACTCTCACACTCACACTCACTCACACTCACTCACTCTCACACTCACACTCACTCACACTCACTCACTCTCACACTCACACTCACTCACACTCACTCACTCTCACACTCACACTCACTCACACTCACTCACTCTCACACTCACACTCACTCACACTCACTCACTCTCACACTCACACTCACTCACACTCACTCACTCTCACACTCACACTCACTCACACTCACTCACTCTCACACTCACACTCACTCACACTCACTCACTCTCACACTCACACTCACTCACACTCACTCACTCTCACACTCACACTCACTCACACTCACTCACTCTCACACTCACACTCACTCACACTCACTCACTCTCACACTCACACTCACTCACACTCACTCACTCTCACACTCACACTCACTCACACTCACTCACTCTCACACTCACACTCACTCACACTCACTCACTCTCACACTCACACTCACTCACACTCACTCACTCTCACACTCACACTCACTCACACTCACTCACTCTCACACTCACACTCACTCACACTCACTCACTCTCACACTCACACTCACTCACACTCACTCACTCTCACACTCACACTCACTCACACTCACTCACTCTCACACTCACACTCACTCACACTCACTCACTCTCACACTCACACTCACTCACACTCACTCACTCTCACACTCACACTCACTCACACTCACTCACTCTCACACTCACACTCACTCACACTCACTCACTCTCACACTCACACTCACTCACACTCACTCACTCTCACACTCACACTCACTCACACTCACTCACTCTCACACTCACACTCACTCACACTCACTCACTCTCACACTCACACTCACTCACACTCACTCACTCTCACACTCACACTCACTCACACTCACTCACTCTCACACTCACACTCACTCACACTCACTCACTCTCACACTCACACTCACTCACACTCACTCACTCTCACACTCACACTCACTCACACTCACTCACTCTCACACTCACACTCACTCACACTCACTCACTCTCACACTCACACTCACTCACACTCACTCACTCTCACACTCACACTCACTCACACTCACTCACACACACACACACACACACACACACACACACACACACCAATGATGCAATTGAGGAAAGGATGGGAATGAAATGTGGGTAAAATCTGTAAAAATTGAGGATGACATGGATTATAATATTAATTAGACCAATAATCGGTTTGACAAAAGCTATGAAACCTGTTTGGAAACATTTCATTTTGCCATAATCGATGTAATGTGTCAAAAATAATAATGTTAATGCCAGCGCTTTCCACAAATAGAGTACAAAACAGGGCCATAAAAACAAACAGCGAAAATAGCTGCTTTACTGTCAGAAAATTCTCAGGAGGAGAAACTCAATTTTATTTTATGTTCGTATGACATTTACACATTTTTTTTTTTCAAACCCTATTACTAAAATTTAAGACATAAATGCAGTTTAACACACTGGTTTGTCTAATTTTGTCAATTATTTGCCCATAAATATTGAACAAATATCATCATTAAATAGAAAAAAAAAATGCTATAAAATACTTATTTTATTAATTTATTTCCTATAAATTCAGCATTTGGATGTATAAGATGTATATTTCCTTTATTCATTATTATTATTATTATATTTCTTTCCCTTAAAAACAGGATTGCACACATGTGTGACAGTTTAAATGTTTTTGGTAATTAAATTAGTTAAAATTTCTTTACTACATTTTTTGGTTATCAATTACACATTGTCGTATGATTTTAAATTGTTACATATAGTTGAGAAATTTAAGCTAGATTTATTTTATGTGAGATAATAGTTTATCAAACATATCTAAAAGTTCTCAACCAATGAATGAATGAATGAATGAATGAATGATATATAGTGCCAGTTATATAAATAATACTACCAATAATAATAATAATAAGTATTATTATTGTTGTTGTTATTTTTGTCCAAAATAATCACTTAAACAATAATTACAAATCAGTACTGCACATTAAAACTGTGAATCCGGTATTGATTTAACTGGACTCATTCTGACAGCGTTTCCTTACCAAATGCCACAAACATGTGACAAAAAACTAATTTGTGAGTATGTATTTTAAATAATGTCAAATAGGTTTATTTTTCAGTAATTGATGTACTTATTAAATCTGTTGTGAGATGCAGTGTACTTGCAGAGAGACTCCGCCCACTTGCTCTTCTGATTGGCTGTGTGGACAGATTCTTGTGTTGCGTTTAGTTAGAACAGGCCGTAAGCCAATCGAATCGCAGGTGAGTAGTGATGTCAGAGCGTGTCATACCCTGGATCTTTCCTCCAGTTTGGTCATCATGACGATGTTTGAGCTCCGCTGCTCCCAGATCATCCGCCAGAAATCGCCGAAGGTCTCGGGCAGCGCGCCTTGAGTGGCGATGTAAGCATTCTGCTTCCGGTAGCCATCGATGTAGTTTGCGTTGATGTAATCGCTGCCTGGAATACCTGCCAACACACAGCAGAACACACTGAGAACCAGAAACTACACAACCATTTGAGCTCTGAGTTGAATTTGAGTGTTTTTAGCATGATGCTAAAGTATTCTGCTAGCTCAGTGCTAGGTGTTTTTTTCATGCACTGGTCCAATTTGAGATTTTGGTCTATTTTGTTTCCTTAACATGTCTTCATTCAGACTAGAGGAAAGAAAACATCCAAAATACACATTAAAGTGTTTATTTTATTGCACTTCACCTATTGGCATCTGTAGATTTTTACTTGCAATTAAAATTTTAAAAGTTTGCGGGTGCGAGTAATTACATTGGTGCCGTGACCCGGATGGGAGTCTGACGCTAGACGCTGTGGTCTTTAGCCTCCTTGTTAATGCGCCCGTCTCACATGCCGGCAATTTAATTTAATTAGATAATGTCTCATTTGCATATTTAACCATAACATTTCAGAAAACCTAAAAAAATAATTGCCTTAATGGACTGTGATTAATCAGCTGGGACAGTAAGTATGGTAATTTATTAGTTCAAATTATCACTCTCTTGTGCCTTAAAGATGCTTTAGATGAGCGTCGCTCAAACTGACTTTCATTTAGAGACTTTCAGCACGTTTAGTTTTTGCTCATCATCCATTTGGTTATTAATAGCAAATCATTTAAAAGCATAAGATTTTGCAGACAAAGGTCTGAACACACACTCTCATTCTTCATTATTTAGTGAGATTTCTGTAAGTCGGTCCTGAATCTTAATTTCATACTGTATATATATTATGTGATTTCTGATGAGTGAACCTTCATCCTCTGTGAAAGAAACAGTGGAATAATCTGAAAGTGAAGACGTGTGAGAAATCTGGAGAACACAGAGCGAAGCTTGATTTCTGCTGCTAGACGGCTGACAGCGCGTCAATGCTGCAGGAGAGCGGCTCGCAGCTCAGCTCACACATGCAGCGGCGAGATAAAACTCATCCAGCGTTCCCTCGCCCCCGCTCACGCTCGCTCGCTCTGTCTCTACTCCAGGTGAATTATTTTACTGAGAATTAATAAATAAATTAAAAACCATGTTTTTCATTTTCTTGTTCATTCTGTGACTGACAGGATAGAAAGACAATTAATCCTGCCTTTCCTTCTCTCTGTTATAGACAAAAGAGGCCAAAATGACACAGATATAACAAAGCAGATGTGTGTGTGTGTGTGTGTGGCTCTGTTCCAAAAACTAATGAGCCACCTACATAGGGTGTATTTCAAGACAGGATCACATGTATCCTGCACAGAGAAAGCAAAAATTCATTTTCTTAATCTGCATTTTTCTTGTTGTCCAGAAAACAAACAAAATAAATAAAAAATAAAAAAATAAACATCATTAAAACAAGATGGACTTACTTGAGAAGCTAATTTATAAGATAAAATATCTGTCATATATGTTTCTCTTACTGCATTCAGTGTTGTTATTGCAAAGTAAAACTATTCTAAAATACACACACTCACACACACACACACACACACTCACACACACACACACACACACACACACACACACACACACTGAGGACCGTTGGATTTTCTGCTGCAGTTCATCACACTATTTAATTTCTCATTGTGGAAACACAAAGCCGGAGCGTTTATCAGGGCCGGACACGGCAGATGAGCATTTATTTGTGTCATTGTTCGCTGAGCGAATCTGTCATTTAACACAATTTGGAGGGAAATTAGATGTTTTATTTTGGGATTGTGTTTTTTTTTTTTTTTTACATGGAGAAAACGGCTCATCAGTTCAGTATAAATGTGTTATGCTGCTGTAGATGCTGCAAAAATCAGCTTCTTAATCTGTATTTTTCTCTCGTTTCCCATTAAAATTATTTGAACATCCTTAAAACAAGATGCATTTACTTGAGAAGACACATAGCATAAAAAAGACTTGTGTTATATATTGCATAATATATTGCAGTGTATTGTGTGTATATAAATAAAATAAAAAAATAAACAAATAAAATAAACAAACAAACAAATAAATAAATAAATGGTAGAATTTATTCCAAAACTGAATTTGAGATATCTACTTTACACAATATTTTGCACAAGTATCTTGTTTTAAGGCTGTTTAGACATGTTTTATTGGAAACCAAGATGGTTGGAAACCTGAAGTTCACCATGATGAACAAATGAGAAGTGGTGAGCGTACCATCGATGGCGGAGAGCAGGACTCTGGAGTGATCGTAGGCGATGACGTTTGCGTATCTGTTCTTTGGTTTGTTGACCTCCAGGTTGGAGTGCTCCCACGTGAACTGCTGACCGGGATCGACCGACTGAGGAGAAATTAGGAATATGGATTAATGAGTGCATTAGCATCAGAGCTAAACACAGACACAGCTCATCTTACAGCCTTATGCTAACTGTTGGCTCGGACTCAACATACTCTGAGCGTCTCACGCCAATAATATCCATCTAAAATAGAAAGGCGCGTCCAGACCCGCGTGGCTATGATCAGCATTCACAGTCTGTATTAATAGAGCGCCGACTGTAACGCGTCATTGAACGAGAGCGCTCAGAAATAAACACTGCTGCTGGGCGGAAACATGCTGCCTCAACAACTTCTGTCCTGGAATAGAGAAACGGCCAGTGGCATTCATGCTTTCACAAAATTAATCAATTAATGCACAAATACATATACAATCAATTTATGAGCAAACTAAATAATTAAATAAAAGTTATGACGAATATCTGACAAATTTTAAAAAATAATGCACGGATTAACAGATTAACGAATAAATATACAAATGAAATAAATGCATGAAGGGAGTAACTTATGGACAAAATAATGCACAAATGCATGAATGAATGAATTTTTTTTACAAATTAATTGAACAAATGCATGAATGAACTAATGGAAATATTAAAGAAAGAAAGAAAGAAAGAAAGAAAGAAAGAAAATCAATTAATGAATAATGAAAAGATTAAATGGACTGACAAAAAATAAAGGGATCATCAAGTGAATGAATGAATGATTAGCTGACACAGTGCATCTCCACATGGTACATGTGAGATCTTCCTGCCGTTAACGTTCTTCTTTTGATTTCTTCAGGAAGTCAGACGATTGAAGCTTTCAGCGCTGAGCTTCTTAAAAACAGGTGTGGGCCTGAAAGAGAGCAGGACGAGTCTGCCAGTGAAAGAGCTTTTGTGCTCAATATGACCTCAGCGTCAGTCTTATGTGCCGTTTAAGAAAGAAAGAAAGAAAGAAAGAAAGAAATAATGTGAATCAATTAATGAATAATGAAAAGATTAAATGGACTGACAAAAAATAAAGGGATCATCAAGTGAATGAATGAATGATTAGCTGACACAGTGCATCTCCACATGGTACATGTGAGATCTTCCTGCCGTTAACGTTCTTCTTTTGATTTCTTCAGGAAGTCAGACGATTGAAGCTTTCAGCGCTGAGCTTCTTAAAAACAGGTGTGGGCCTGAAAGAGAGCAGGACGAGTCTGCCAGTGAAAGAGCTTTTGTGCTCAATATGACCTCAGCGTCAGTCTTATGTGCCGTTTGCAATTTTTTCCCATTTACTTTAATAATGAAATTATTCAGTCTCCGCAGTGTCTTTTGAAAATGAAAAGATGATACGCATCTGCCTGCGAGCCCGGCTCTCCGCGTTGACAAATTTCAAATTACAGTTTTCAGAGGAGCGTTGAATGAATGAAAATTGGTCCCGTAAGCGAAGAGGGGAAAGTAATGTCTTCATGCCTTGAATAGATTTTAAAGGATCACGCAGAGATGTGCTCCCTTTCAAACGGCGCTTTTGTCCACTGATGTGCCGTTTCAAACGAGAGCAGACGACTGCAAACAAATCACAGCCCCACTTTGACAAATTACACTCAGAAATAGCAAAACGATAAACGCTGTGAGACTGTCAACAGCCAAAGCACATATTTCACATTCGACACGTATAGCTGCGAGGAGAGACGAGGAGACGCTGCTGTTTTAGCTGTAAAGCACTGGCGCTTGTTTGCGTAACTCTACAATAAGCAAACGGGCCTCGGTATGAAGAACCATAAATTGATAGTGGTGGTATTTTTCTGTCAGGGCGAGTTGCCGCGCCGCGCCATAAAGCGTCACTAAAGATGACAAATCTCCAGCTAAGCTGCATCATTCTGCCCAAATCTGTTGAAACATGGTTCGTGAACTCGCGCGCTTCATTGTGCTGCTGAAATGACTTTCTGTGCCCATGCAAAAGCGCCCCGGAATGACAATACCATGTGCTTGAGCTCAGCTCTGGCAGGCGTTTTGGCCGAGCTCCACGTCTGACCTCATGCTCAGCAACCGCAGGCCGAGGGCCCAAAAACAATCTGTCACGTAAGCGCTGACATCACCAAACGGACTCGTGCTCTGGCCCTGCGATCTCTCCGAAACATCCTACCTGACCTGTCCTACGCCGGCGCAGTAAACGACAGTAAACGTTACGGCATCCTCTATTTTTGTCATATTATTTGTCATACTATATTATGACATATTAGTAATATTACAGCGACCAAAGACTTATGTTCAGCAGTTTTAACTAAACCATCATCAACAGAGCCATCTTGTTTATGTTTGCAAGGCTGCTTTGCAGAGAGCGTTCGTGAAGGGTTGCCATGTCCACTTATTATAAGCAACGTTTATTAAGCATGTTTGTTTTGCTCAGCACATAAAGCGATCCAGTTGATGGAGTTAATAAAATAGGTAGGAACAGGTCATGATAAAGCGTTTGGATTTAAGTTAATTATGGGCTTGTTCTTGCTTTTATTCCAGCAAGATCTGGCAACATGTATGAGTTAATGAGTGATTTCTTGCCCTGCGCATACAGAGAGACACAACTCTGACACTCATTTAATTATGTAGCTGGAAGAACTAATCAAATATAAATAAGTGACACTGATCATGTGACTCAAGATACTCTCTGGATCATCTCAAACCATGCTGGAGAAGTTGATCACCAACTCAGACAAACTAAATACTCAGACACCTTCAAATTCAAATTCATGTTCATTTTTACTTTTCACTGAAATTGTTATGCTGATAATATAACTTGTGTATATATATATATATATATATATAAATGCAAAACACAAGCATTTAAACCAGTGGTTCTCAACCAGGGGGCCTCTGCATACATCCAAGGGGGGCACAAAATGGCTTAAAATGAATTAAAATAAGGCAAAACAAGGCTTAAAATAAACTGAACAGCTAAAAATCTAAATGTAACCTAGCATCATGTTTCTTATTGTATTCCTTTAACAACTGCCATTTTAATTTAAGAATCAGAGATATAAAATATCTTATTTGGTAGAAAGTGCAATTTGTAAGTAAAAGATAACTAATCAAATGTCTAGAAAACATTACGTAAATGAACTGTTAATCCAAAAAAAAAGTAAATGTGTGTAAATGCTGTATTTTATTATTATTATTATTATTATTATTATATATTACCATTCCTAGTTTAAAAATTATCAGCTTTGCTATTACAGCAGAAGTAGCAGGAATACCTCGGGGGGCCTTGGAGTCAGAAAAGTTGAGAACAAAACCAGATTTTTCATGCAGAAAGTAACATAATGGCTGAGCATTACCTCATACTCCTGCGAAAACTTCAAGTTGTCGTTTGCTTTCAGGCGTTCGATGTGATCGGCCAGCTCCATGACTGGGATGGGAGGGTGACTGGCCATCCCTGCAGACAGGAGACAAACAAAGAGTCCCGGGGTTAGCGCTAGCACACCAGAGCCTGCGCCGAGAGATGGGCATCACAGAGGATGAAGGATGTGAGGTTTGTTCGGCCTGTATGATTGAACGAAGCAGCCACATGCTCGGAGAGAATGGACACAGAAGCCGCACAGAGCATTCCTAATGAAGAGAGGAATGTTATTCGTCCGCAAGCGTTAACATGGCGGGAAACATGGTGGAAAGATGGAGTAGAGTAGAACTTTAGGGGCTGGATATTAAAGTTTGAGCTGGCGATGAGTCTAAAGGATGCGACATATCAAATCCCGCCTCCTGCGCTGGCGTGAGGCAAAGCGGCGTGAGGAGATGAACGCAGTCCAGAGAGGAAGTGAAGGAAATGAACAGACACAGTGGCATATGTAGAAACAAGAACGACTAACTTGACAAATGGAGGTTACTGGGGTAAACCGATGTGGCTGAACCTGCGAAGGAAAAGGGGACGGGGATAAATCATACTAGCTGACGTTAAAACAAGCAAATGTGGTGATCGGTCTCTATCAGAACTAAAAAAGAGGCAGTAGAAACACAGTCTGAAATGACAGTCGCAAACCACGCTACGACTCCATCTCTACGTTTATTTGTTAGTAAAAACAGTCACACATGCTAACGGCTAACGGACGACAAACATGCGGAGATGAGGATAACACATTCGGAGAAAAAAAAAGACATGTCAAAACAAACGTAACAAGGACAGAGAAGATGGCATGCACGTTTATCATGCGCATGTTTGTCTGTTCTCTAAGGGCTTCGGCTGTGAGATTTGCAAAGAAGGCGCGTGTCTGCGAGAGAGTTTGTGTTTGCACTGCAGAGGATGCTTTTGAATAGTTGAATACTGATAACCGGTTTGCAAAATGTGGTGATCGGTCTCTATCGGAACTAAAAATAAGAGGCAGTAGAAACACAGTCTGAAATGACAGTCGACAGTCGCAAACCACGCTACGACTCCATCTCTACGTTTATTTGTTAGTAAAAACAGTCACACATGCTAACGGCTAACGGACGACAAACATGCGGAAATGAGGATAACACGTTCTGAAGGGAAACCAAGAAGGCTGCGTTCGGGCTGCCTGAAGGGAAAATGGAGGATGCAAAGCTTCCTAAGAGGCTGTTTGCGAAAGAGGGGCACGAGTGCGCTAATAAAGTGCCGCTGAGAGGATTGAGTGCATGGAACATCGCTCTTGAAACCGTGTTGCAATGCAAATCCGACACGTGAATACGAACCCTGGCCTATTCACGTCGTAGATGAATATCAAAATGAATGTCACTGCTGTGTAAGGATGGGGATCACATTCAATGGCAACATTGGGCAATTGATGAATGGTTCAAGAAGAAAACCAACTTGAGGTGGTTTGACCGGGCTTGCTTTAGCTAGTCTCCCAGACTGACCTGTTGACGAGTGCCCAAAACTACTACATGGAAACCAGGCTAGTGGCCTGCTAAGACTAGCTAACCAACCTTAGGATGGTTTAAGCTGTTTTTCTTCTGTTAGGTAAACAGGTCTTCATTAAGACCAACAGTTGTGTTGACCTCAGGACACTTCCCAAATTCTGTGGACACGCTTGCCTGCTTTCAAACACAATGGAAAGCCTAAATGTGTGTCCTGATCCCCCAACAAAATATACAATAAGCAATAGAGCTTTCAAAGGTTTAGTTTAGCAACAAATGCCACTCCTCAGAATAAACTTCTATGAATTGTGTTGTGTGGTAAGTGAGTTTTTGGGTTTGGCTGGTTGGTCCCCCAGCATGACCGGTGCCCAAAACCTCTTTAAAGCCATCAAAACAGTGGAGACCAAGGGCCAGTAGCATAAACGCAGCCACTATGTTAAGACTGGGTCTTAAGAACTAGTCTGAACAACTAATAGGAGTAATCAGTTTTACTTTTAGGATGCAAACTTTTAAGAGTAGGCCACCATCCACAGCTTGGAAGCAAATGCTGCACTGAGCCATTTTTATCAGAAAGGTGAAGAGTTTCCCTCCAGTCCATCTGTCTTGCTCTTGCAGTCCAGACAGATGGACTCTGGTTCAATGTGTTTAGAGCTGGTCTCGCTGGCACCCAGGTTCTCCTCTGAGAAACTAATGGAGCAACTGTTGTCACCGTTGTTTTGCCCCTCAGAAAATAAATCTATAGGTCTTCACGGCTGGCCGCTCTAGAACCGAGAGCACTTCACCTTGTTCACCAAGGTCAGGAGGGAGCAGCCGTTCACCGCTCGACAATTCCCACATTCCTCTGCGACTCGTTCACACTCCGCTGCTTTCAAACACAACGGCCCTCCTATGTGTGTGTGTGTGTGTTGATTCACCAACTGAATATACAATCACCAGCAGAGGTTTTGAGAGCCACTGGCTTGAATATATATCTCCATAATCTTCTTCAGCTGGCTTTGGTTGGCCACAGTCCTCGCTCTTCAGGTAAACTCACTGAGCTGTTATGAATGTACTGCGAGGAGTTCTCGGGTCAGCTGTGAAGCTGCAGGCCAAGAGTCCGGAGGGATTTTCTGCCCTTCCATCATTCTGAAGCCACCTGTCCTGTGTGTTTGTGAGTATTCAGGCCGATTCCTCAAGAGGTGTGTCTCTGTATCCTTGGCTCCATATGGCTTACAGACCCTCCCATTAAACCTTTACGATGCTGAGCAAAACAAGAGCACCACGTTGACTTTCTACACACAGGTCTGTTTATGTCCATAGACTAATTTAAGACTGTGTTTCTTCATGAGGCGCCTACAAGCTGGCCAATGCATCACCAACATGCTCCCAAATCTAGTGAGATGCCTTGCTGTCTACTCAGGCAGGAACTGTAACTGATCCTCGAGTCACTGATTTGACGTATTCCACATAGGCAGCACCACTCAATTCATTTCAACTGATCCACAATTTGACAGACCTTGTAATCAACGTTTGTCTTGCTTATGGATGACATATTCACTGAGCTTGTCACAATGCATTTTGGGATTGCCTCTTTGAAGGTTAAATTCAATGCTGCCATACAATTTGGCCAAAATTGTAAGCAACACAATCTTGCTGCATGGATTTTGAGGAGCCTTCAAGTCTAGAGTGCACCTATAAATGCCGTCTACGTAGGCAGCTCACTAGGCTTTGGAACAGAGGTAGTGTGTTCTAGATCAGTGTTTCCCCATCCAGAGCCCAGAGTTCCCCCAATAATGCACATTCTGTACATCTCGCTAATCAAACACATCGGATTCAACTCTTCAGCTTGTTAGCAGAGCCCCTTAAAGCTAAACTGGGCGCGTCAAATAAAGGAGACATCCAAAATATGCACTGTTGAGGGTACACGGTTTGGGAAACACTATTCGAGACGTCCTCATGATTCAACCATTTCTAAGCCTAGAATCTTCACTTCACTGAAACCGAGTCGGAATCAAAATCTTTAGTTTCAGACTCAAGGAGTTGGTTGATGGTTTGTGTTTGACGGTGAAGATGAGGCGGATGGCGGTCAGCAGCTCTTACCGGGAGTCTGGAAGTTCAGACGGCGTAACTCTACAGGGTCGGTGGCGTGATGGGAGGGCATTTCTTTACCGCTGGGCAGACTGCCTTTCCTGGCCTCTGACTCTGCCCTTTTCCTGAAAGAAATACATCATATACTTCAGGACAAAACTGTGTTTGGACTATCAGAGCAGCACTGCAAGAGGTCAAGCAAACACGCTCGTGACGGGCATTCAAATGTGACACATTCTGTGAGCCGTGACCAGTGCGTGTGTTTCAGGTACAGCTCTTCTGCATGCTCTCACCTGTCTGGTTGACTGCTCCAGTGGAAGCGGCAGGAAGGGAGAACAGAGAGTTAGTACGCAAGACAAACACAGATGTCCTCATCACAACTGCTGATATTCAGAGTGGCTTTACATTTGTTAGTTTTCATCTGATCCGTTCTATTAAAACACATCGACCGTGCCTGATTCTAACTAGATTTGGTGTGAAATAACATACTCAAGGCTTTATCCCAGTCTTATTTCTCATGTAATTTTATATTTTTTGAACACACATTATATATATATATATATATATATATATATATATATATAGATGACGGCCAGCACAGGCCCCACAACCCAGATCAGACCCTCCTCTTCATCGATTATGGGCTGCGGGTCGATATCGGCAAACATCACCGGATCAGAGTACGGACTTGCCGCGTACAACATCTGCAAGAAAATCCACCACAACATGTTTGATGTGTCTCTGGGTTTGTATAAAGAGCAGAAATTGTATTTAAAGTAATATGTTTTCAATGGGCAGAGTGCAGCAGAAACGTGCAGCTCGTAGTTTTTTTAAAGCACTTGCATGAATTATTCAGGAGTTCTTAAATGTACAAATACATTTATTTCATGTTAAGTATAATACAGATACATTTACATATTTATGTACTGCAATTGTCCAGAAATTGGAACAATATATATATATATATTTATTTATTTTTTTTCCCCCAGAATAAGGGTTTAGTTCAAAACCTGATGAGTAAAACTAATAATGATAATACACTACCATACAAAAGTAAGATTTTTTTAATGTTTTTGAAACAAGTCTCTTCTCACCAGGACTGCATGTATTTAAATATATATATATATATTTATTTTTATTTATTTTTTTTCCCCCAGAATAAGGGTTTAGTTCAAAACCTGATGAGTAAAACTAATAATGATAATACACTACCATACAAAAGTAAGATTTTTTTAATGTTTTTGAAACAAGTCTCTTCTCACCAGGACTGCATGTATTTAATCAGAAATACGGTAAAACAGTAATATTGTGAAATATTATTACAATTTAAATGATTTTTTTATGCATATATGTTGAAATGTAATTAATTTCTGTGATCAAAGCTGTATTTTCAGCATCATTACTCCAGTCTTCAGTGTCACATGATCCTTCAGAAATCATTCATCCTCAGAAATCAAATGACAATCTGTTTTAATCACCGATATTTACAGGTTTTTCATTGTGCATGTACTCTGCACGTGTCTTGACAGCAGGAATTGCTCTCTTGTTTCTGTCTGTGAGACTGTTTGTTTGTACTGAATTGGTGCATCACAGGCAGTGAGTGCGTTGTGTTGTTGACATTGTGATATTACACTATGAGCTGTGTGCATGAGCCCGTGACATTGATTCTGTGATTAATAAATAAATCTGCCATCAGAAGACATCAAATAACCCTGGATATATGAAGGACCTCATCATGATAGATGTTCAGCTCAATGCCTGACTGTAATTTACAGCAGATGATCAGATCAGTCTATATTCAAATGAGCACCACAGATTATCGCACAGATACTTACAATGTATAACTGCAAACACACACACACACACACACACA